AGATGTTGGCAATTTGATCTCTGGTTCCTCTGCCTTTTCTAAAACCAGCTTGAACATCTGGAATTTCACAGTTCACGTATTGTTGAAGCCAGGCTTGGAGAATTTTGAGCATTACTTTACTAGTGTGTGAAATGAGAGAAATTGTGTGGTGGTTTGAGCGTTCCTTGGCATTGCCTTTCTTTGGGATTGGAATGAAAACTGACCTTTTCCAGTCCCGTGGCCACTGCTGAGTTTTCCAAATTTGCTGGCATATTGAGTGCATCACTTTCATAGTATCATCTTTTCGGATTTGAAATAGCTCAACTGGAATTCCATCACGTCCACTAGCTTTATTCATAGTAATGCTTCCTAAAGCCCACTTGACTTCACATTCCAGGATGTCTGGCTCTAGGTGATGGATCACACCTTCATGATTACCTGGGTCATGAATTTTTATTTTTTTTACATTACTCCTTTGGATTCTTGCCACCTCTTCTTAATATTTTCTGCTTCTGTTAGGTCCATTCCATTTCTGTCCTTTATTGAGCCCATTTTTGCACTGATCACTGAGGAAGGCTTTCTTATCTCTTCTTGCTATTGTGGAACTCTGATTTCAAGTGGGTATATCTTTCCTTTTCTCCTTTGCTTTTGGCTTCTCCTCTTTTCTCAGCTATTTGTAAGGCCTCTTCAGGCAGCCATTTTGCTTTTTGCATTTATGTTTATTGGGGATGGTCTCGCTCCCTGTCTCCTGTACAATGTCACAAACCTCTGTCCATAGTTCATTAGACACCCTGTCTATCAAATTTAGTCATTTGAATCTATTTCTCCCTTCCATGGTATAATCATTAGGGATTTGACTTAGGTCATACCTGAATGGTCTAGTGGTTTTCCACACTTTCTTCAATTTGTCTGGATTTGCCAATGAGGAATTCATGATCTGAGCCACAGTCAGCTCCCAGTCTTGTTTTTGCTGAGTGTATAGAGCTTCTCATGCAAGTTTCCCATACTGCATGAAATTCAGAACTGGCAATCCCTAGATATCTCCTTTTGCCTAAAATAGAAACAGCAAGCTTTGAAATTGTACTAAGGGCTCTTAATTCTTATTGCCACCAACTAAATCCCTAATTGTGAAATGTAAAACTATTCTCAATAACTCTATATAGGAACTTAATAAATCAAGATAATTATATTTCCTCCCTTTTGATGTTTTTAACTGATAGAGACAATAAAGGAAATGACTAGCAAACACTGACTAATCCCTCTTACAGAATTAAAAAGTTCAGGGATAATCTGAAATCTGAAGGAATTAAGTCTTTGAGATATCCTCTCTGAGTAGTTGAAGTGATCTTAATAGAGTACATTCAACGATTCAGAATTTTGGCCAGAGGTGAGGAGAGTTTGTTTGTATGTATGTTTCTCCATCATATTGGGAATCTGAACATTAGAAGCCGAGGACAGAGAAGAAAAGATGTTGCCAGTTTTGTAGCTTGAGACAAAGATGTTGAAGACGAGTCTGAGGCTTCAGGAGTCATTTTAGTTTTCTTTATTCTTTGTCTAAGATAACCTTAAAACATCATCTTTCAGAGAGGCAGTTTTAAACCCCTGATAATGTTGGGAAGCCTCAAAATACCAATTGATTCTCTTCAGTTCTGGGAATTTTTTAAATCTATTTTAATCTATGATAGTCTATATATGATCATCTAATTATCAGAAAATTAGGTTGGAGGATTTAAAAAATTCCCCTTAATGGCCATTGATATTCTAAATTGCCTTTTGTCAAGCCAGTCCATTTAGTCATACATGTACACGTGGAAGTACAGAGGTTTCAAAACATAAATTTGGCCAAAGTCCCTTTTGGGATGCCCTCAAAATAGACGGGCTTAGTTGACTTGAGGCAGGAGATGGATGGGCCTCAGGGTGAGCAGTTTGCACCCTGTGGACAGAAACTTCATAATGCCAAAACTCCATGAAAGCAAGATGATGGAGGAGGCTGGATTGTGCCAGGATAAAAGATGAAAGACTGCATACTCCTCATTCTTGAAGATAAGGAGACATTTCCATCTATAGATGTGCAGAAAGGCTTCTTTGAAGTGAAAAAGTGAGGGTGTGTCATCTCATAGTGATGTCAAATACCCATAAATGTCTTCATTAGACTCCTCCTTGACTAAGAAATAAGCACACACACATAGAAGGATCCTGATATATACCAAATACAAACTCAGAACCAGACAAATCAAAATGATTGGCTAAAGAAAATCTGGAAGAAATGCCTCATAAAAGTGATTCAAATCACTACAAGCATGGGACTCTCTCTCTGATTCCACCTGTGTGTCTATCCATATGTGCAATACTTTTTTTCTCCTCCTAATAAACACTTTTTGCATTTCTTTTCCATGGGGGTGGTCTTGATCCCTGTCTCCTGTACAATGTCATCAACTTCCATCCATAGTTCATCAGGCTCTCTGTCTATCAGATCTAGTCCCTTAAATCTATTTCTCACTTTCACTGTATAGTCATAAAGGATTTGATTTAGGTTATACCTGAATGGTCTAGTAGTTATCCCTACTCTCTTCAGTTTAAGTCTGAATTTGGCAATAAGGAGTTTATGATCTGAGCCACAGTCAGCTCCCGGTCTTGTTTTTGCTGACTGTATAGAACTTCTCCATCTTTGGCTGCAAAGAATATAATCAATCTGATTTCCGTGTTGACCATCTGGTGATGTCCATGTGTAGAGTCTTCTCTTGTGTGGTTGGAAGAGGGTGTTTGCTGTGACCAGTGTGTTCTCTTGGCAAAACTCTATTAGCCTTTGCCCTGCTTCATTCCGTACTCCAAGGCCAAATTTGCCTGTTACTCCAGGTGTTTCTTTACTTCCTACTTTTGTATTCCAGTCTCCTATAATGAAAAGGACATCTTTTTTGGGTGTTAGTTCTAAGAGGTCTTGTAGGTCTTCATAGAACTGTTCAACTTCAGCTTCTTCAGTGTTACTGGTTGGGGCATAGGCTTGGATTACCGTGATATTGAACGGTTTGCTTTGGAAACGAACAGAGATCATTCTGTCATTTTTGAGACTGCATCCAAGTACTGCATTTTGGACTCTTTCATTGATGATTTGAATGCAGAGTTCCAAAGAATAGCCAGGAGAGATAAGAAAGCCTTCCTCAGGGATCAATGTAAAGAAATAGAGGAAAACAACAGAATGGGAAAGACTAGAGATCTCTTCAAGAAAATTAGAGACAACAAGGGAACATTTCACACAAAGATGGGCTCAATAAAGGAAACAAATTGTATGGACCTAACAGAAGCAGAATATATTAAGAAGAGGTGGCAAGAATACACAGAAGAACTGTACAAGAAAGATCTTCATTACCCAGATAATCACAATGGTGCGATCACTCACCTAGGGCCAGACATTCTGGAATGTGAAGTCAAGTGGGCCATAGAAAGCATCACTATGAACAAAGCTCGTGGATGTCATCGAATTTCAGTTGAGCTATTTCAAATCCTGAAAACGATGCTCTGAAAGTGCTGCACTCAATATGCCAGCAAATTTGGAAAACTCAGCTTGGAAAAGGACTCACAGGACTGGAAAAGGTCAGTTTTCATTCCAGTCCCTAAGAAAGGCAATCCCAAAGAACGTTCAAACTACCTCACAATTGCAATCATGTCACATCCTAGTAAAGTAATGCTCAAAATTCTCCAAGCCAGGCTTCAGCANTGTCATACTGCTCTGTTCCTTAAAGCTTCCAGTGATGCTCACAAAAGGGCAAAGGGCATCTGAGAGGCTGCTGCATGCAATCTGTATGCGCCCTGATGAGAGTTGGACTGTGCAGAAAGCTGAGCGCTGAAGAATTGATGCTTTTGAACTGTGGTGTTGGAGAAGACTCTTGAGAGTCCCTTGGACTGCAAGGAGATCCAACCAGTCCATCCTAAAGGAGATCAGTCCTGGGTGTTCATTGGAAGGACTGATGCTGAAGCTGAAACTCCAATACTTTGGCCACCTCATGTGAAGGGCTGACTCGTTAGAAAAGACCCAGATGCCAGGAGGGATTGGGGGCAGGAGGAGAAGGGGATGACAGAGGATGAGATGGCTGGATGGCATCACCAACTCGATGGGCATGAGTTTGAGTAAACTCCGGG